TTGATCAAATCAAATCAAATATAAATTTGAATTTGTATTTGATTTGATTTTCAAATCAAATATTCAAATGTCAAATCAAATTGCGGAACCCTACCCATAGGTACTGCGCACGGACTATACTGTGGAGGTAAGTAATTGAAATTTCTGTCATCACGTATGCTCTGATTCATCTTGAGCCACCTCTTACACTATTTTCTGGTTTTACTTTCTCAGACATAATTCCTGATACTGGTTGTATTCCTGGATTTATCTATGAATGCTTTCCTAACGGTAACTCATGTATAAAAGAAGCTAGCAAATCTTGCGACGAATGCAATTGCTTAGAATGTCCTCCCACTTGTAATATCCATATGTCATAATTTTATTCATCCAATACATATTTTATTTTACTTTCATCACATAGTATAGTCAAATGATTCGTGCGAAACAATTATAGGAAAGTCAATATAAGATATACGTCGTGTTTAACCTAATTTCAAGTTTATTGCATAATAAATTTTCTTATTGTTTAAAAGTCATCAGTACCAATTAATGAATTAATTAATTGTTTTAAGTATTTTTTTTGTCAAGTAAATCACTAAAAGAATAATAATTACATTCGTTCTGCTAATGTTAAGGATTCAACGGTTACCGGCTTATAGCAAATATATATATATCAATATATTACAGAAATAAAGCCAATTATATAAGAGCCGTTAAGAATTTGTTGCTTTTTTACCTTAAAAAGCGATTATAATTTTTAAAAAGTATTAAATTATTTTGTAAATTCTTTAAATTAAAACATTTTATCGCAAAACACTATGGAACATGCTTAGTTTTTGTACCTATATTTTTTTAATGTACTATACAATCTTTTCTAAAACTTTAAAGGTTCAAATCATATTGATAAGTTGAGATTTAGATTTTAATTAAAGTAATTATTTTTTTAAGATTTCAGAAATTATAATTTCTAAATTTATGAATCCAATTGTTTCGCGTGTAATATTTGGTTTATTAATTATAAATATCTTTATACAGTAAAAGCATGATATTACGTGTTTAGAAAACTGATTAATTTGTAAATACCTTTACAAGGTTTAATAATGATAAATCAGTGCGTGAACTTCGAAAGCGATTAATCAATAATAAAAAAAAATTTCGATTGTAATGAAGATTATGTATCTAAGCATTGATTATAGAAGTTTAATGAGTCATAAACTTCACAAGTTGTTCACGTCCTAGCGTAAACTAAGAGCGAAACGAAGCTAATTTATATCAAATTTCTTTTCCATAGCTTAGCTACAGCATTCTATGAAAATATCAGGAGGCTTGCTGCTTGGATGACGGAAATGCTAATTAATTGATCCCTGATGTCAAAAGTGGTCATTTTGACATATATCTTCCATCAGTCCATGAAGTCTATGATCATAAAGGTCTGAAAAGCCAATTTCAACAGATCTTTCCTTGCATAGAATACCATCCCATACTTAATATGCCCCAATATTCCTTAAAATTTGTAGAATTAAGAAGCCAACTTAGTAAAACGAAATATTTATTTCATTTATTGAAACTTATTAATAAATGAAAATAATCGGCCTTTTCAGTAAGTTAATTTCATGTATCATGTAACGTTACACAATTTACATTTCCTGATCTTCATCTTCATAAAACTATATCAAGTCCTATAGTAAAGTTTACTATCAAAATTTTTTATATTAAACCATGTAGTACAAATAGTTTAAATTTAATTTCATAAGAAGTCTCTCACTAAATCAATGCATTCTTTATACTTTAATAACATCGAACCTTCTTCTCATCCACACTTCAAATTCAGTTAAAGTGTTTTGAATGGCTATCTCTTTCATAAAATATCTTGCTTTTTTTTAAAAAAATAATAAATCCATTTTTACAACAAAATTTGATACCTTCGAGGATAGCTTTATAGGAAAAAAATTTTTTCTCTTTGAAATTTACAAAAAAACGAGGTATTTCATATTTCTTGAAGTTATAATACACTTGTTTAAATCTTTAGTATCACACAAATGTTTAATAATATTTAGTTATAATATTGTATAATATAATAATATTATATATTTAATTTATGAACCGAAAATTAAATTTTAGCTTTCGGAAGTAATTCCGTTTTAAATACGCTATATTAGTAACACAAAAAAAATTCGTCAGTAAAATTTACTATAGAACTTGATATAGTTTTGTTAAACTATGTTGACCGAACACCCCATTGTCACGTAATTTAAATTCATATATAGATCAAAATTCATTCTTGAGGCATATTAATTTACTTATAAAAAAGTAATATTTATTAATTACAAAATTTTAGGATTATAATTTTAATATCTAAGATCTTAATACCGATCTAAATAGAATGTCAAATTTGATATGATATACAAAGATCACGTGTAAAATTTATTTTAAAAAGATTTAATTACAATATACATATAAGACGTAGCAAATAAGAAAAGTTGGTTTTCATTTCCGACGATCTTAATTTCAGCCAAAAGTAAAATTTTATTTTATAATAAATAACATAATCACGTGACAAAATATCATAGTTTGAAAACACATTTTGTATTACTCGATTTATTTAATTTTTACATATAATTACTGAATATACCTATAATATGGCAATCTATAAGTATCTGCTTAATGGAATTAAATGAAACGCGTCTCTTTTTTTTATTATCCAATCCGACTAAACACAGATACGTATTAATTAATTCTTTGCTTTACACCTCTTTTTATTACCCACATCAAAATACTTACTTCTTTCCATTTTTCTTTTTTCTCCAGTTTTTGTATGACACTCTTCACAAAATGGTAGCTCATTTCCTATCTGGATTATGTCCTTTGATATATTACATATATTGCAAACTTGAGTATACATTCCAGCCACAAAATATGGTTTTTCAATAATAGAGTCGCAAGTATATTTCTTATTGATTTATACCAATTTAAATAATTCAGCTATGGAGTCAGTTTCTTGTTCATGTGATATAACTTCATTTTCTTTTTCATCCGTATCATTACAAATACTCTTAGAAAAACTTAATTCAGTAAGACCTTTGAATGAAATTCCACAGATATATTCTACTGTTTCCAAAAAAGATTGAAGTAAAAGATACTCTTCCTCTGATAATTTGCGACAGGCATACAAAACACGAGGTTTGTTGCATTTTACACATTTAATAACTGTCCATACATTTTTTCCAAATTGTGCAGACATTATTGGTATATTTTGGGACTTTTTGTTCTGTAAAGAAGGGCAATATTGTTCAGTTATCTTCATTTCATACACCTCCGAAAATGACATATAATGATTATCGAGTCCAGGAATAGGGTCAGGTAACCTCTTCAATTCGTTAAAAATGTTCAAATCACTTCTAATTGGCTTACAAATGTGGCATTCATCATTTCCACATTTTTTTATTTCAAAAAAATAGGAACGTTTTCAGCAGCAATGTTCCATAAATTCTTGCAACTTTGGCTATAGAAAATATGCCATTAGTAATATATACTTTAATTTAATTATGAAAAATTAATTACGCATACTAACCCTATTAGCAACTTTCTTTTGTGATGTGTCTTCCATTGTAATTGAATTATCTACTAAATGTACAGATTCCTAGAAATTTTCCATTTCGGTCTTAGTTGAAGGTTCAAATATTTTAAAAATTCATTTTTAAGACTTTGACGTGTAAATATATTGCTTAACAATTTTCGGGTAATTTCTATACTTTGTAATAATTCTTTTTCTAATTGATTATTCAACTTTGCTTTTTCACAAATATCTTCTAAACTATTACATCCACTAATTAATTTCTCCATTTCATCATTCATCTTTTGGCGCATTAAACCAACACACTGCATTCCAAGATTTAAAATAGACATTATTTGTTCTACTGGATTTTTCCAAGAGTGTCTAGGAGGGGTTCTTACAACAACTAAATAATCTAAATCTAAAGCAATAAACATAGCTATCAATGATAATTGAACACGAAGAAAGGTATTCTTATGGTCAGAACCACCATCAGTAAATAACATTAAAAAAGGATGATAATGTTCGGTATTGTTAATAGCAGTTCTTTGGTATTTATGGGTTATAAACTAAGTTTTAAGGTAAGTAGAAGGTTTGTGTTTTATTATTTTTACTAATTTAATATAATAATCGGAATTTCTAATCTAATACAACATAGATATCATATTGCCTGCAACATCGGCGCTTTATACAATCAGGTATGTTTATTAATTATATCTTTCAGAGTTATTAAAATAAAAATGTAAAGGAAATAATAACGATGTTTTCGTGTTTAGGGAATTATCAGATTTTTCAAGGATTGGATGAACTGTTTATTATTTCGAGTATTTAATTCTTTGTTATTCGTGTTAAAACTATTGTTAAAAAACTATTATTTTTTTATTAAAGGAAATTCCGCCACTTATATACTAAATTTTTAGCAGGACAATTATGGCTAATGAACAATAATGTCCAACGAACATTAATGGCCAGTAAAAAGTAACGTCCAACGAACATTAATGGCCAGTAAACAGTAATGTCCAATGAACATTAATGGCCAGTGAACAGTAATGTCCAATGAATATTAATGGCCAGTGAACAATAATGTCCAACGAACATTAATGGCCAGTGATCTTCATTGCGCTAACTTAAATTTTGTT